TTCTCTTCCGCCTTGTTTCCTGCTTAAGTTTTAACAAAACCTTATATCTAGCCGGCTAGCCTCAATGTTTGGCAGGTGTTGGCTGTCAAGTGCTAGGGAACAAGGGTGGGGGGCCGTGAAGGGCGTTAGGATGCTGAGCATCATGGTGCCTAGAAAATCACAGGTACAACCCTGGGATCCACAGCCTGCGTTAGGTGCCTAGATTCCCTGTACACAGAAGGGGGAGAAGAGTGAGGTGCCTGAGAATGTGACCCACAAAGCCAGCATGATAGGTGGCACCTTGCTTAAGTGAACCAGTGGGAAATGCTGATGATAGGGTTGTGTCCTATGCCCTGGCTCTCTTGCAGACCTAGGTGACTAGGGCTACATCTACCCTGCAAAAGGAAAAAAAGACTGGGTCAACTGACTTGGGATCGCGGGGCTCGGACTACGAGGCTAACATATAGCAGCACCCCTGGGTCTCAGAGCCCAGGCTGCAGCCCGAGCAGGAACCACTACCCTACCGGTTTTAGCCCCCGCAGCACGCACCTCGCAAGCCCAAGTCACTTGACCCAGGTTCTGAAACTTGCTTCTGTAGGCTTTTGGTTTTTTTTGCATTGTAGAGGTCCCCTTAGTCTGGGCTGCTGTGAGGCACTTAGTGCTGCTAGCAAGCCCTGATCTGGGAGACATTAGGTGCTCCTCCACCTAAGTCGTGTGCACGGCCTGAAATAAAACGGTTGCGTGGAGCGGGACCGCTTATAACCTTACCGGAGTAGTGGAGAGGGTATGTACCCAAGCTGCGGGTGACCCTGTCCCAGTTCAAGCTGCCCCGCCCCCACTTCGTCCTGAGCATGCCTAAGGGATCCGCTCCTCCACCTCCCTGACTTAGGTGGAAGCACTATCTTCCCCAGTTTGTGAATTGCTCTGGAGTGCTAGGTGTCTAGATGCCTAGTGTGAGGCAACAGCATGCACACCCAGAGGCAGAAACATTGGTGCTCAAGCAATTTAATTGCAAAAACTTAAACTCACCTTGTGCCTAGGCACCTATGGGGTAAGGTGGCAGCCAAGCAGCAGTTTTATAGCTTGCAGTGGCACCTAAAAAATGGGACTTAGTGCCGAAGGACTTTAGTGGGTGGCACCCTAACTATATAATTAGCTATTAATTTACCACTTTAAAAAAAAATCTTTTTAGGGAGTACAGTTTTCTGTTACTGCATGTTTCCTTTAACGGGGGTGGGGGAGAGGAGCTGTATTTTCAGCTAATGTTGCAAGATTGAGCAACAGGGAATAGTTGGACCAAAAGGCTATATTCAGTTAAATGAAGAAATTTAATTCCAGATTCCTTGACCCAAGCTATATGTTCTACAGCCCAGCCTCTGAAAGCAAGCCAGTTAGCCTGAGAACCAATCCAGCTGTGTTTCATAGCATGCCATTAGCCAAATTGAATTACTGAGATGTAATGACCCCTTTTCTCTCTTTTTTTAATGTTCTGGCTTAGCTACGGTCACTCATTTTGGAAGCAAAAGTCTGAGTAGTAGCCCGAACAAGCATCTGCTTGGTTGTATGTTGCCTGCAGAAGCGATTCTGGGGTTTCTCCTTGTGCCTAATGCATGCTAGGTGGCAGTAGAATTCCATAGTAGGGGAATGCAGGGCTCTGTTCATGCTGCCTATGAATTCTGTTCACTACTCTTCTTTGCCAGTGGCTGGAGTGCTGTGAGAACACTCCCAAGACTCTAGCTGATGGATGTTATCCCCATTTAAGCTGATGTCACAATCAGCTAGTGAGTGGCTAGATAAACCCTACAAGAATTTGTCCTTGTCAGCCTTCCCACTTGCTATTTATTATAGACTTTCAAGGGGGAATGGGATAGTGTGAGCCTGTTACTCATGATATTCCTTTCTTGTAAAGAAGCCCACTTACCTTAGCTTTTTGGTTACACATGGCCAGTAGATGGGAGGTCAGACTTTTCTTCCTAATTCTTTGTAAGACCAAGGCCCCATGCAGCAAGATACTGGTTTGTGGTTGATGTGTTCAGGTTATCCAGAGGTACCAAGAGGTTGATGTGACTTCTTCCCTCTTCCTCACACCAGTTGCCTATGGAGGATTTTTTGGTTTTGTGTTTTTAATTCCCCAGGATGATTTCTCTAGATTTTGAAATCCCCTGCAGATCTATAGTCAATACTATGTGAACTTAGTAGCAGAAAGCACCCAAAATACATGGCAAACCCCTCCTTAAGTTATGCATAAATGTTATTCTTGGATGCCTGCTTTTTTACCCTCCTAGCATCCTACGTTGGCCTTTGTTTACAGTCTTAACCTGATTCCAGCCCACAGCCAAGCCCATTTGAATAGAATTTTATTTGAATTTCTAAGGGAGCAGGGGGAAGAGAGAGGAAGACCGTACTCAACTCTTAGCCTAGCTAGTGGTTAGACTACTACCTGGGATGTGGGAGAGCCCTGGTTCAATTCCACACCCCCCCACCCACACCCACACACACACACACCTCTCTTCCCAAGGGGGAGAAAGGCTTTGAAGAGGGGTCTCAGGCAAGTGCCCTAGCTGCCGCTATAGGATGCCTATAGGATATTTCTGATGTGACGTTCCCTAAATCTCTCTTGTTGAAGTTATTCCACAAGTATGGCTAAATAATTAAGTCACTGGAGTAGGAATCCTGGTTCTCCTACCTCTCAAGTAATTGCGCTAACCCCCAGGCTACCGTCTCATTCTCATATGTGCTGTCTTTCTCCCTCTGGCCCAATGATTCTTGCAGCTATTCCCCTGTGACTAAATGATGAAACAAGAGAGACTGAAGGGGGTCCCCCCTCCCCACAGAAGAATATCCCGTTGTTCATTGGTTAGAACACTCCCCGGGGAGGGGGGGGGGAAGGGTGTCAGAGATCCCTATTCAAATCCCTTTTCCCCCTCAGGTGAGATTTGAACAGGTCTCCCGCAATCCAGGTGAGTCTCTGCCCAGTGGTTAGAGAAGTTATGGTCTCCCCTCCCCAACCCTGCTTTCTTGCTAAAACAGAATAGGGGCCTAACACCAAGAAGGGATTCTCAGCTGCAAATCCTAAGCAGAGGGAGGCATCTCCCTCCAGCTCAGACTGAGGTCTAGTCTACACTACAGACTGATATCGGTAGATCACCACCACCCAGGCATATAAAATCCACGTCCCCAGTGAGGTCATTGTACCGACACCCCCCTGTGTAGACAGCGCTATGTCAGCAGGAGAGCTTCTCCCACTGACATGGCTACCACCTCTCAGGGAGGTGGATTAAGTATGTCGATGGGAGAGCTCCCTCCCATCAGTTTACAGCATCTTCATTGAAGTGCTACAGTGGTGCAGCTGTGCCAATGCAATATTTTAAGTGCTGGCCTGTCTTTCAGCCCCAAACTCGGAGGGGGTGGGGCTTAGAACAAATCCATCGCTTTGACATCTCCCACTAGCTAACTTAGGCAGGGAACTGCCTGGTGTGCTAGGTGCCTCCGAATGGGATTCGCAAAAGCTATCTCCCTCCATTCATCTTGCAGGGAGCTGAAGCACCAAACTCAGGCTTTGTGAATCCCAGTGATTTTTCAAGATGCCTTAAAGTGAGGCACAGTGACGCTCACCATCACCACACCCAAGTTCCTTTGTGAATCCAGCCCTTCTGCACCTAAAACTCATTGACAGTCAATGAGACTTAGGCACTTTTGCATCTTACAAAATGAATCTACACTGCACTGTATTGATAACAATAAAAAATAAATCAGCAATGTAGTGTGTGTGTGTGTGTGTATATATATATATATATATATGTGTGTAGTAAAATCTATAGACAAAAGAGTTACTTATTGACCAGCCCTTGCCAGAACATTTTCCCCCTTCTGAACAGTGGTTGCTTCCTCTCAATCTTTTGCTTCTTCCAGGACTGTCTAAAGCAATTGCTCATAGAAGATAGTGTCCCCAATGCCACATAATTAAACATAAAAGATATCTGACAATCATAATTTGATATTCAATTTATTAAAAGACATTTTGTGATTACAAAGCTCAGTTACACACAACTTCTGTACACAAACTGTTCTGTTTGATGCAGCTGTGTATGTAGAATTATCTGAAGTCTCACTACAGTTGCCCAGATCAAATCAAAGTCCAGAAACACAAAAGTAAAAGCCTGGAATAGCAGTATTAACTGGCTATATTGCCCAATCTGTTTGATTATGGCATAAGCTTACATTACAACATATTACATTTAGGGTGACCAGACGCCCAATAAAATTGGGACTGTCCCGATATTTAGGTGTTTGTCCCGCGTCTTGACCAATGTTTGGTCGGGACACAATTTGTCCTGATATTTCGCCCTCCTGTTTTGTTTTGTTTTTGTTCCACTGGCGGGACTCCGCCTTTTTTTTTTCTTTCCCCTCTGCCAGCGGGACTCCGCTTCCCTCCCTCCCCCCCGCCTCTTGCCAGCAGGACCGCCCCCCCCAAAATGTGCCCCGATATTTTCTTCATCCCATCTGGTCACCTTAATTACAATACACATTTAACAAAAGACAAATAGAAATATACACTATGTGAAATGTGGCAGAGTTAACATTTCTTTTGGAACTTTAATGATGAGCAACACAGGAGAAAATGTAAATTTGTCTCTTCCCACCCCACCTTTCTGATGTGTAAAGAGGGCCTGAAAGGTATGTCAAATGTTTCTCCAGCTTTGTTTTTTGCATTATAAATGAAGGTCTTGTGTACTGTGGCTGACTCTGTGTCAATTAAAGTCTAGTGACATTAATTAATTACAAGAGACAAAAGCTGAGTAATAGAACTGATTTTTATACTCGATCAAATAAGTGTCTAAAAATACTAAACTCCACAGCCTAGTGAACATTTGGGAGAAATTAGTGTTTCAGAATCAACCTCCACCTCTTCACCCTTCAGCTGAGGTGTCAAAGCGCTCAATACACATCTTGGAATGCCTCCAACAAGTCCTCCACCACCAGGGATAACTAGATTCTGTATTTCTGATTTTTTTTTTTAAAAAAAAGGTTGAAAACAAACATTATTTGATTGTATAAAGGCTTGAGACATTTACTGCATTTTCGTTTCCTAGTCTTACATCCTTCTCCCTCAGTGGAAGCTTGTCAATTCCCAGCAGCTCACATAAGCATCTCCAGCCTGGAATTTGTTTAACTCCCATGCCCAGGATGTGGTTACAACTGGACTAAATTCAAAACCAGTTCCCGCCCGCCAAGCCTAGCAAAATGCAATAGTCTTCAAACATGCCACATTATAAACTTCAGTAGTTCTTGCTGTAGCAGTGTTCCCCTCCCACCAGCCAAGGGAGTTTGCTCACTCTTGCCAAAATGATTCACCTTTGAGCAGAGGCATTTCAGCCCAAAAGGTGAGCTCTTAGAAAGTTAGTAGGGGATGATGGAAATGTGATCTTCATTATCAAAAAACCCCTTGAATGAGAGCTCAACAGACTGCAGATCTGTTATTAAAACATGCTTGGTCACTATTAGGAAAGTTACCCATTGCTGACACGGGGTAATGCTAAACATGGTTTATAAGAAAACGTAGACCAGAAAAATCTGGTAAGACCCAAACCACTTCAGAAGCAATAGTTACAACACTGTTATGACTATGCTTGGCTCATCATTGTCAGCAGTGGGTAATTTTCCTAGCGTACAACTGGCCATAGAAAATGAAGATGACATAGTTAATTAGGAACTAACCAGTTCTTGTCGAGTGAGCACGTTCTACTGCACCAGAGTGATGAAGAACATCTTTAAAGACGTTCACTCTACACAAGTCATGTGATGTCCCTGGCACAACGAAAATTACTGTCCATCCTGCATGACAGAAAAACATCAAAGCACCCCAAGACATTACTTCTGTCCTACAGCATTTGCTGGACAAATATCCACATGTGGAAAACGTAATACACTAAAGGCAAGGGTTTCAAGTGAATCTCAACCAAGCCTTTAAATTTATGCATGTAATCATTAGCAACTGAAACAACAAATTCTGGGACATGCCTTTTCCCAGACGGTCCATTGGTATGGTCTACCTCCAGCTTTCCTACCTACAGATCAAGTTGCACAGCAAATCTGCTATAGAGTTGGAAACAGAACCATGGCTGACAGTATTCTGCTCTAACCACTAGGTTGACATTGCTTGTGCAGCAGGAGGAACTCCTCCTTTTGAGACCTTATTCATTACACCAATTTAAAAGAACAGACTTCTTATTTGTCTAGTTACTGATTTTAATCTAAAATATTGACATCGACATACAGTACTCCAAGAACACCACCCTGTCAAATCCACAGTAAACTCATTCACAGGTCTCTTGGAAATGATAGCGTAGGTAAGGGAAAGAGCCACCTCAGTAAAGTCATCAGAGTTGAATGACTCATCATTCGGAGCACTACAAAATTGAAAAGCCGTAAGCCTACAATCAAGTTGTCAACTATATTAAACTAGAGTTGACAATTTTTCTCTCAGTTGAACGTATTTCTCAAGAGAAATCCTTTCTAGTCAGTATTTCCAAAGCTGATTGTTGCTGCACAAAGAAGAATCACACTATTCCACTCCCACATCCCCAATTCTGACCCCTCCTATGTGGGGCTACCCTAAGGTTTACATACTATGAACAAGTGAAAGTCAACAGTTGGATGAAAAAGAGTAATCGCCTAGTGTGCAGGACGTTCCTCCTGCCAACCTCCTTCAAGGAGCAAATTCTTTGGATGTAGCAGTTGGAAAGGTGCTCTATTAAAAATGAGAGATGACTATTAGACAATCTAATCCAGGATAGGAAACCCTTAAAAACATGTAAAATTAGGTCTGAATGCTGCAGTGAGCGATACAAACGGCTCTCTCCCTTATTTACGATACAAAACATTTTTTTTCTTCTTCACTATAGTCTATTATATACTCTGGATAAATCTGATGCTTCTCAAAGATGACAAAAATGGAGGGAACCAGCACATTGTCCACACAGCAGTCGTAAAAGGTGAGCATATCAGCAGCTTTTTGTGGGGGACGAACGTAGGTTGGGTTTCCTCTAACAAAGTCTCCAACTAGAACTCGAGCCACAAACATGGTGTTCCTTTTTGCAGGAGATTGACTATAACAGTGCGCATACTTAGCATCTCTGGCGAAGTAACTTCCTAGGAATGACAAAAAAGGGCACTGTAAGGATACTGGATGTGTATGGTGTACTTTATACATCAGGCACAAAAGAGTTAGCACACCACAATAATTAGGATGTATTTGACTCAAGTTTCAATAAGTGAACTTTCTGTTTAGTGGAGATTTCACACTAGACAGCTAAAGGATTTTGCCATACAACTCCCATTAATTTCAAGAGGAAGTAAAGAGCAGGCTAGATTAGGAAGGAGTGAGATAGAAAGGGAGAGTAAAGAAAAATAGCCTAGGAAGAGTAGTAAGACATTAGATCAACAGGTATAGCACAAGGGGAAAAAATTAATGTTAAGAGTTGAAGAAAAGCCAGCATGATGGAGGGATAAGGAGGAGAGACCTCTTGTCTCCATCTGACAGAGAATTACCATCTTCTTCAACCTCCCCCCCCCCCCCCCCTGCTGAGGTGAAGGAGGTAATGGACTGGCAAGTTTCCCTACACTTCCTAGGAATCAAAACATGCCCCTCTCCCCACCCCCCAAATATAACAATTCTTTTTCAGCCCCCAAATTAATTCTCTCAACCCCATATCAAATTCTCCACCCACGCAAACCAATTCCTTTCCAGCCTGAAAGAACACTGGAGCTTCCCTCCCATTGCTTCCCCCATGCACGAAAAAACAAATCACTGAAGCTTATAAAGACCAATTACCACTGTAACATCATCACTGGGTACTTTAAAGAAAGTCTGTAATCTCACATACGCAGTCACTTCCTCCTCACCTTTTCCATAGTTTGTTCCATGGACCCCACAGATTCTCCAGTCAAAATTGTGATTGCAGATGGCTTCCAAATGGGAACTGTTGGTTCCATGGAACAGAAGCTTCTCATCTACATCTTTCCCTCCATTTTTCTTCTTCATCTGCTCTTTTTGCCTGATGTGAAAAATATATTTAAAGACACACTATAACATGGATGAGATTTCCAGCCACCTTCTGTATTCCACTGGCAGTCAAATTAGAGTTGCTAGTCTGGGAACGGCAGTGAAAATTACTTGGAAGATGGAAAAAAAGAGACAGTAATTTTAAAAGTGTGAACATTTATGTTGTCAAAGCCTCATCTGGATTTTCAGAAATCATTTTACAGTGCAAGTCAGCAACATTGTATCCTGCAGAAAGGGCTCAAAGTTAAGGGGAACAGAGAGACTGGGTTCTTGCCTCCCTACATTTGATAAAAATCTAAAGGGAACGTGGAAAAGGCTACAAGGCAAATGGATTAAGATTAGTTTTGAGGTTGTGTTAAATGCTGTCAGTTATTTTCAAGGTCTGTTCTGTTAAAACAAACCATTTCTAGCAAACTCTTTTTTGCTGCTTAGCAATTGTTGTTATTGCTTGGTTAGACTATTAGCTCCATCATTGCCAAACCCAAACTGTTTTTGAGGGGGAAATGTTCTCTGTCTATCTAGGTAAGGTCTTATATGCTCTCCCCACCCCTAATTGCCACTGCATCAAAGCACTCTTATTAAACGTTTCTGCTGCTGTTCTTAATTGGCCAACTATGCTGTAGATATTTAAAATCCAAAAGGAACTAGAGCACATCAGTAACAAATAACCCAAGCCTCGAGGACTGTAGTTCAATGTAGTTTGGCTGTTTTACACCAGAAGCCCCTAATATGCCTTCAGGAACCTCGCCCCGAGAGAAGTGTGACACATTTGTAAAATACCCATTAAAAGAGACACTCTAGATCCACTGCAGCAGACTTATTAAGGGATACAGTCTCCTTTTGAACCTGTGCAAACAGTAAAGACTCCGCTATCGGGGCAATTCAATATTCAGTAAACACAGATGTACTTGCATCCCAATTGTGCGTGCCAGTCCCAGCTGTTAATTTTCACGGAGTAGCTACTCCATGCAGAGTCGGCAGCTTTGCCTAGAGCCTCCTCTTCCAGGAGGGGACGCTAAAGCTCGGCAGCAATAGCACCTCAACAATGAATAGCTAATTAGCCCCAGAAAGGACTGAGGGATATTTCTGAGAGTTCCTTTAAGGAACAGAGCTAAAGTAAGCTTCAGCACCACACTGGGTAACCTCCAGAGTTAATGTTAGTCACCAGCTTGTATGTCCAGGAGACAGCCTGGGAAGTTATGAGACTCACTCCCCTTGTTATTGCCACAACTAATGTAATGTAATAAAATAGATACAAACCACTGAAAGACTTGCCAAAGGGAGGGGTTCTGAATCCTCCTGATTCTCTGGATAACATAATTGTTCATTGTCCTTTTAAATAGGGTCTCGATTTCAGTGTATTCAGAGGATGGATTAGTGATCGCCACTGCCTACAAAATACCAAACCACAGCCAAAGGTTACAGAAAGTTTCAACTGGGTGTAAGGGGTGACCACGCTTTCCTAGGCAGAGCCAGGGAGACCAAAGGTAGATCTTTTGAGCCTATGTAGTGCTTGAAATCCTATCCACTCACAGAAGAGGAACAGCCCAGATAGTTGCTATGTGAGCTCCCCCATTCTGTGCTGTGCAGCGTACCTCTCTCTTTGGGAAGGAACCTCTCAGACGGAGGAGAGATGAATTCAAGTGTTTGTATATGTTCCATACTTCATCTGTTGAGATGGTGACCTGTCAACTATAAACTAGGCTGAGACTACCGACTCCTGTAACACAGGGCTACCACACAGACATGAGTTGGTAACAATTTTTCAGTCACTGCTGCCTAGGGCAAATATGAAAACAAAACTTGAAGTGAAAGACCCCAGTTCCAACGTGTCAACGGTGCATCTTAAAAACGGAGCAGTGGCTGCTCTGGGAGGCATGGTGAAAGCAGCAGCTTTGTCAGCTCTATCATAATCAGAAATGAAAATTCAAGCATGTCAGTGATTTTGTAAGTTAAATCTGATTGTGCTACATCTAAATCCTATCTGTATACAGTTTACTTTTGTTTACTAGATATTTATATATTGGACAACCTCTGAATGGACAAATCTTTTAAATCAGTTAATGGGATTTTAGAATGATCCAAGCTGCAGTGGCTAGAATTATTTTTTAGATTAAAAAGCCTACCAGTGTGAAAATTGCAACTCAATTTTCTTTTATGCAAAAAACACTTTACAAAGCCATATATAACTTCACAATATAACTCATCAAGATCACGCAAAACACACTTAACGAATTAGAACTTCCCCTAGGCTGAGCCCGGCATATTTCACAACGCAGTAGATCCATATTTTGTGACAAGAGAACTGCTGGACAGTGCAGCAATGTGAATCATGTCACTGTATTCTGGCACCATGCAACCACAATTATTCATTTTGTGCATGTATGAGAATAAAAGCATTTTTGTGGTCATCCAGACTAACAGCATCTTCCATACTGCTTATTCCATGAAGGAATTCACACCCCTTCCTTAGCCTCAGTATTACCCAGAAAGCCTCTTTCGCCCTCCATCATGCTACCATCCCAGGCTTTCCTGGCAGCTCCCCTATCCATGCACCACTTGCTGCTTTGGGTGGTTCACTTGCCCAGTGCTCTCTGCCTTAGAAGTAAGAGAATGGAACTCTCAGTTGCGTCTGGACAACAGAGACCAGAGATACCTGGGAGAAAAACAGCTAAAGCACCTGGAGTGGGGTTTGCACAGCCTCGACCTGAGCAACTGAGCTGCTACAAGTTCCCCGTTTCCTGGGCACACATGGCTGGAGGTGGGGAGGGGTGGCCTGAGCCAAACTGGCCCTGAATAATACTGGTACAACTGGGCCAAGGAGCTCCTGGCACTGCCTACAAGCTCTCTCCCCTCCCCCGCCTCCTTCCCTCTCTCACCCAAACACGTGCCACTTGCCAGGAAGCAGTGTGAGTGCTGTCAGGAAAGTGTTATGATCTTGCAGAACATATCGGAGTGGCAAATCCTAACTTGCCCATATCCAGCAAAAACAAATCCATTGATTGCCAAGCAGCAGAGACACTGGTTCTCCTTTGTCTGGATTTTATAGAATCATTCCCATTTCACTGGAGTGGTTCAAGCAAAAATAAAACTAAATTTCAGGCCATCAGAATGCCACCACATCTAAAATTATAGGCTGGCATGTTCTGTGGTATCACAACAGCTTTGCACTTATAAGTATTACTATCCCCATATTAGAGATGGGAGTAACTGAGGCAGAGAGGTTAAGCAACTTGTCCAAAGTCACAATATCAGTGGCAGAACTAGATCTTCTGACTCCCAGCAGCCCTTTCATCTCGTAGCACAGCGACTTCTCTCTGGCATGACAAGAATCCACAGACCTAACAGACACAGAATGGAGACTGGCCTCTGACATGGAGAAGAGAGAGACCAAAGACCTCTTGATGCCAACTGGCAGAGGACACAGGAGTAGATAAGCTTACAGGGATCCCCTAGGTTCACCAAAAGGTATCATGTTATGTTATATTCTTCATGCTTTGCAGTTAAAGGCCAAGGTAACCTGCATTGGAGACAGATTTCTCCAGACAGGAGGTGGGAGACATCTCTCTCCCTGGTTGACCACTGTGTATTGTGCATCTTACAGTGGAAGTCTATTTGCATACGGAGCCAAATGCTAAGGAACAGATTACAAGTGCTGCAGGAAAAAAGCAAAGACAGCAGGGATTATCCAGTTTATAAGTAAAGACAATGAACTTTTGGGAATATAACTGAGGGCACGGATGTATACCTGGCATCCTTCAATCTGGAAAGACAAGCTGCCAGTGGGCTTGATCTTATAAATGAAGATCTGAACCGTCCTGGTTGAAAATGCTATGAAAAGGATTGCTATGCTGTAGGAGACAGGGAGTTAAGTTTAGGCTTTAGTGAGCATGTTATGATTTTGTTTTATATGTAATAATTTCCATTATTCTTTCTTATTATCATTTGAATCTCTGTTATTTGATCATAAACTTATTCTTGTTTCCACTATAAATATCTCTGCTCATCACACAGCAGTCAGAGTGATGATCCTGAGTTAAAACTTGTCAGATGTCTGTCCTGTTCCTTTAAAATCGGAGAGTTCTGTGAGTGTTCAGTGGGTCAGGGCCTGGGCACTCAGGAGAGGGGTGCTTGGAGGACTCAAGAGGTTGGTATGTGCTTATCACTAACCTGTACAGAGAGGCTTGGAAGGCCTCATGTTGCCAGAGGCCGGTGGATTCAAGGAGCTGATCCACAGCAGGCATAGACAAGGCTGCCTCATGCTAAGGGCAGGTGGTATTAAGGTGCCTCGCAACCCTGGGAAGCACCACAAAGCGCTCGGACCCTAACATACATTTCCAGATTTACCATTTCTATGTTAAAAGTATAGCGTGCTAGAATATAGACTACAAATTGTTGGGATATGTAAGGGTTAAGTAGTGACCTGGGAAACCGCTGGTGTGCAGACATGGAATTAGGGAGTAGAGGCCCGAGCAGACACCGCTTCCGTGCTTGATAGATAAAGTGCTACCCCTCTCCCTTCCCTTTGCCTTGTTATGGATTGATAAGCGTTGCAGCTGCAGAAGGAATGTGGGGATCTAAAGGATAATCTTTGTGTAAAGCAGTGTTCTCTCCCCTCCTCCCTTTCTTTCCCAGCTAGAGCTCGGGGTTATGGCCCCTTCCTTCCTTCCATGAAAACTGCTAATCAAGGGAATTTGTGGCTGCAATTACTGCAAAGAAATGTATCTTCAAGGTAAAATTATTTGTAAAACATGCTAATGCTGTAAGCAGTAATCAGGAGCAGGATAATTATATTCAGTATATAGCTATTAATATTCATTGTATGGGCGTTTATATTACTCAATAAGGGTTTTGGGGGTATTGTAGTAAATGTAAATATTTACATACTAACAAATAAAAAAAGTGTGCTGTAACTAATTCAGGGCTTACTCGACAATTGGGTCGAAGGGAACAAGTACCGCAATAAAGAAGCGCGTCTACTCAATCCACCTCCGGGTCAGCCTGCTTATTCTCCAACACAATTATATTATATTCATACATTTTAAGACAACATCACAATTCATTTTTTGCCATTCATCTCTCTTCAGCTACCAATTCCATTTTTCTGCCATTACACAAAGTAAATAAATAAATAAATAAATAAAAATGGAGGGGGATTCACAAAATCTGATTTACTAATCCTAAAAAGCTATCAATATCTAACAATATAGATCAAGGGTGGGCAAACTATGGCCTGAGGGCTGGATCTGGCCTGTCAGGGCTTTGGATCTGACCCGTGGGATTGCCACCCCCATGGCGCCGCAGGCCCCGCGCTGATCCCGGAAGTGGCCGGCACCACGTCCCTGTGGTGCAGGGTCAGAGGGCTCTGTGCACTGCCTTCACCTGCAGGGACCGCCCCCCACAGCTCCCATTGGCTGGGAACGGGGAATTGCGGCCAATGGGAGCTTCAGGGGAGGTACCCACAGGCGAGAACAGTGCACAGAGCCCTCTGCCCCCCTCCCCCAGGGGCCGCAGGGACGTGGTGCTGCCCGCTTCCAGGAGCGGTGCGGGGCCAGGGCAGGCTGGGAGCCCATCTTGGCCCCACTGCGCGTCGCTGCCACCCTGGAGCCGCACAAGGTAAGCAGCGCCGGGCCAGAGCCCGCACCCCAACCCCCTGCCCTGAGCCCCCTGCCACACCCCTCCTGCACCTCAACTCCCTGCCCTCAGCCCCCCTGCCACACTCCATACCCCTTTGTGCCCCCCCAACCCCTGCCCTTAGCCCCCTTGTACACCTCGCACACCTCCTGCACCCCAACCCCTTGCCCTGACCCTTCTTGCACACCGCACCCCCTCCCATACCCTGCACTCTCTCCCCAAACCCTACATTCATGGCCCTGCATGCAGTTTCCCCACCCAGATGTAGCCCTCGGGCCAAAAAGTTTGCCCACCCCGATATAGATTATAGACATATCAACTTTTACTTTGCATAGGATTTTTCATGTCTCAAAATGCTTTACAGAATAAATACTGCAATCTCCAATATTATGTGTGAAGGAGGAAGAAAATAGAAGACCTTATACTAAACAGGGAAGACTTTAAAAAAAAATAATAATTTAAAAAAAAGCATCCTTTCCAGTGTAGCAAGATTTTCCACAATAGTTTGCAAGGCCAATGTCTGAAGTGTAGGAAATTCATCAAGGCTGAGGTGTCAGATGTTGTGAAGGCCACCACAGAGGCATGCAGAATCCCAGCCAATCATGAAACAGTGAAAGCAGAGGATTGCTACTGTGAAAGAAAAGCCTTATGGTCAGAGAGGTAATCTCAGATCAATTATGCTTCTACCTGGCCTGCACTTTAAGATGGAAGATGTTAAATAACTGCAAAGTATTATCAATTCTTAAAGTGTCAACTGAGACAAGGTACTTGACTGAAACGCAAGCTGGATTCTTTTAATCTTTCACATCACTAACCACCAGTAATAACATGTTTCTGCCAGTCAAATTCTGGGTGCCTGTGCAACCCCATTGTCTCCAGTGAGCTTAGCACAGGTGTACCTGATTGGACTTTAGGCTGGGATTTGAAAGGGAAAAGTAATTAGGCTCCCAAATCCCATTGGAGTTTAAAGGGAATTTGGCACTTAACTATCGTAGGCTGCTTTGAAAATCCCAGCCTTTGTTAACAATTCCGTTGATAACACACAAGGAGGAATTTCCTAATTCCCCCTCAGCTGCAGTGGCAGGGGTAACAGGAGCAAAGACTTATTTTTTTGTCACTGATGTCAACTTTACTGCAGGCCCAGATTCTGATTCCCTTACTTGTGTAGAGTAGCACATTACTCCACAAGTTATTCATGGTAAACGAAACCATCCAACATGAATAAGAGGATCCGAATCTGGTCCATACAGCCTAAGGGACAGTTGGCATAGAACTGGCATAGTCTGCTCTTAAGTCACTCCCCACTACAGCCTGGGAATATGGGGTGAAGAACTGCAAAGAGTGTGAACATCTGGAAAGCTCTGCTCTCTGGCTATCACCAGCTGGCAGAGTGCCCCAAAACTGCTTTTAGCGCCATGGAGCTCGGGCTACAATAAAAACAGTCTGAGAATCAGGAATCCATAACCAGGTCCTGGATGCCTCCCACTTATTCTGTGCCCAAGTGACTTGGCCAATTTCACATAGGACATCTGTGGCAGAGCTGGTAGCGGAGCCTGCACTTAAACCTCCTCTAAAGGAGGAACTACAAAACCACGGTGTATCCAAGTGCTTGACTCTCGGTCTGTTCCTTAGCCACATAACTATTAGCTAGATGATTCCAGTATTTCTTTTGATCCATCTGTTGAAGCAACATGCAAATACCATCAAAACTGTTAGTAAAAACTCCTAGATGTCCAACAGCTCTGCTCTTACTTGTTAGCTTCATTTCTGTGTGTATATATTATATGTTTAATACTGTATTTGTTTGAATAGATATGAAAACAGAGGGGCAAATTGACCTAGTAATGACCATATCGTCATCATATGATGGTTCTTTGGTGGCCTATGTGGCAAGAGTTGGTAATCTCAGTCCAGTTCCTATTGAATAGATGTGAACTTCAGGGTACATCTACACTACAATTAAAAACCCATGTTTAACTGCAGTGCAGATGTTCAGGCTCTGGGACCCTCCCACCTCACAGGGTCCTAGATCCCAGGCTCCAGCCCAAGCCCAAACCTCTACACTGCAATTAAACAGTCACTTAGCCTGAGCCCCGTGAGCCCAAGTCAGATGGCACGAGCCAGCCATAGGTGTCTACCTGCCATGTAAACATACTGTTTGAAAACCCACCAACTCAACTAGCACCCATATTGGCAGTCTCAGGACACTTTAATACCTTTTTAAAAATCTGGCCCAGTCACCTAGAGCAGTGGTCTCCAAACTTTTTTGATCGTGCACCCCTATCAGTAAAAAAATTTTGAGCACGTACCCCCTGCTGTGCCGGCTCTACCATTTTTGCCAAAGACAAAAAAATAAAAAAATAAAAAAAAAAAAGACGCTCCTCCTGCCGTGCACCCCCAAGGATCCTCTTGTGCACCCCACTTTGGAGACCACTGACCTAGAGATGCAGATGAAATCAATGAGAGTACAGTGCCTAGTGGAGTTTTCAGAGGTGCCTAGACACCAACCTGCAACCTAAGTATCTTTTAAAATCTGGCCCTTTGTAACTATATTCCCAAATGGCAAACGTTTCACTAGATATGGACATTTTATCATGTTCCTTTGGGCTCAGTGCCTTTCCATCAAAAGAACCTGTATAGGAACAACCCAATCTCACCGGAGCAAAAAGGAGAAAACACAAGTACCTTGTACCCTACGTCAGGCAGTGCAGATTTGTCCCAGTTTCTAGGATAGTTTTGATCTGGAGGATCAGTCACTCTTTGGCTGTTTGCAAACAAAAAGAAAATCAGGAATGAGTCTATGGTACTTCCACTCCTGTCATGAACCTTCTCCCAGACTGACAGGAGAAGTCTATTTTGGTCACTTCCCCTGTAATAATTTGACAACACAGATTTAATCTTGCTACTTACTGCAGATTGCCAATTAAATATCATCATGTAACTAGGTTCCCAATAGGAATTAGTCCCCTGTTTCTGGTGGGCAGCATTTCTTAGGCCTGATCTATACTAGTGATGAAAGTCGATCTAAGTTACGCTACTTAAGCTATGCAAGTATCATAGCTTACATCGACTTAAAGGGTGTCTACACCATGCTATGTAGACGGGAGCTTCCGCCTCTCATTGAGGTGGATTAATTAAGTCGATAGGAGAGCGCTCTCCCGTTGACGTATCGTGTCTTCACCAGACCCGCTAAATTGACGTCACATCAACTGCAGTGACACCGACTTAGCGTGTAGTGTAGACGAGGCCTTGGTCTCTTACTATGCTTTTGTAAAAGACAAGTTCCACCTCATCAATACTCCCATCTCCTCTTACACCATATACCACAGGAACAGACAGATTCTTGCTCATGCAGCAGAGAACTGCAGTGTTGCACACGGATTGTGGTACTGCTGCAACTATCTGTAAACCAGCAGCGTGTTATAGGATTCCACCACAGCATGCAGTATATTGAGGTGAACAAGAACAGTTGCATTGCAGTACATCCAACCGTTATGGCAATCAGCGAACCAGAATTATCTATGAGAATCAAGAAACTTCCCCATATGCAGCCACCATTCCATACGGAATGTGTCAGTATATAATGCCTGCATCTGTAACTTTCACTCTATGCATCCGAAGAAGTGAGGTTTTTACTCACGAAAGCTTATGCCCAAATAAATCTGTTAGTCTTTAAGGTGCCACCAGACTCCTTGTTGTTTTTGTAGATACAGACTAACACGGCTACCCCCTGATACTTCATTCCATACGGGGCATTTCGTTTTACAGTGAAAAAAACAAACAAAAATGAATGCATCGTTGAGTACCCTTTCCTCATTTTTTTCACATCTTCCGAGGACACAAACTTTGGTCGCCTGCGGACTTCTCTTTGAGTTTGATAGCGGACATTTTTCTGGACCATTTCTTAAAAGAAAAAAAAATTTATTTTATGTATTTTTCACACACACACACACACACACACACACACACACACCAGAAGGAAAACAATCTATTTGTTGATGGCATGTGGCAGTTGTAACTTTTTGTCTGTTTAGCAA